TAGTTGGACTGTATTTAGTTACGAGAATTCCCCTCAGATATCCAAAACAGATTTAGAAACGTAGATGGAATAAAAAGATCCTAGAGGGAAACCCATCAAAAGTCAAAGACAAAAAAAAAAAAAAAAAAAGAGGCAGGGGGAACCCTTCTGAGGGACACAGTTAATGTAGGACAGCTAGAAGACTGACATCAGAATCAGGTGTCACACTGCAATCCAGTCAGCCCTGACACATTTCCACATAAAGTGGGCCATCGAGTCTGGAGAAGAGCCAGTACAGCAGAAAACCTTCAAGGTTATTTTGCATAAGACTATGCAAATTCTTCACAAAGTTATTTGCTTATCAACTTTCACCAGCACTAAAACTCACCTAGCTAACCTTAGAAGACAGCATGTTATTCTGAATCATACTGCTGAACAAGCAGGTGAATAAAATCAATTACTTGCTCAAGGGATTTTTAAGACATACATTTCCTTAATTATTGTCAGAAATGCAGGTCAACAAAAAGGAAGATTGATTTCTAGATAAATGGTATAACTGCATGTTAAAATGTTGTATGAAAAGACAAATTGTTAAATTGTGAATTAAAGCGTTTTAACGCTCATTTTAGTGAAATGATGGGAATATTCAGGAAGCACTTGCAGTCAAGAAACTGTACACATCCCCATCTGCCCATCAATGGCACAACAACCCAGTCTTCATCTTCTTACCACTAACACCTTGCTGATCAGGAGGCACTCCTTCTTGCCTAGCCATATATTTGTACTGATTAATGTAATACTAATATAATGACTATGCTGTTTGCATCAACATTGTTAGAACAAATCGACATTAGCTGGAAAATTCAAGTCAGTCTTATTTGTTGCGACCCAGTGCCGTCATCTCATCTGTTCACTGGTACATGCTGTGCCCCAAACTGGCCCTCAGCACCCAAAAAGCAAAGTAGCTCCAGATCTGTCCCTGTAGAGAATCAGGGAGGTGAAATAACATGTTTTAGTTTGTTAATGGGCTCATTTCTGTAGTATCTAAAAACTTCCCAGCAGTGCCTAAAGCAACACAACCAATAATCATCATTCATTGTTTCCTCCGGGAGAAAAATTTGTGCAATTCAGTGCCTTGCTTTGCTAGGGAGTTTTGGTCTGGTTCCTGGTAGATTTTTGTTCGGGCTTTTGTGCGGAGGAGGGAAATAGGTTATGCTTTAGGATTTTGGGTTTCTTAGTGCTTCATCAGAGGAAGTGTAACAAACAAGAAAATGTCACCTTGCCCATTAAAGGAGTGGTTGAGATCTGCAGTGGTGCTCAGTTCTTGAGGAAAAAATGAAAACGCAAGTTCCTTTCCCTCCAAGTTCTCTCCCACAAATCACTGGCTAGGAAGTCTGCATTTCCAGCATCAGTCTGTCTATATCAGTACGTAAAATATAGCCCAGCACCTATTCCCCACCTGGACTAGAAGCACCCTAAGGCAGCAGAGCAAAGAACCAGTAAGTTGCACCCAACAAGCCTCTCACGATATACGTGCTCAAAGCCATTCCTTGTGCTTCATCCCTCCCTTCCTCAGTCCCTCCCGTAGCAGACATCAATCAAAAGGTGGCAGCTGCAGCATGATTTCTTCTATGCCTTCCCATTGCTCCTTTCCAAATGCACACTGCCCCATGGATAGGGGAGCTGTTATACAGGCTAGGGGGGCGGCGTGAGAAAGGGGAGGTATGGGGGTGGTGTGGGGCTGTGTGTGTGTGTAGGCCTTCCACTCTAAGGAGAGGAGGGGAAGCCTCATATGAAAGGATCATAACCCATCCACACTTTGTGAAAGCATGATAAACACAAAGTCCTTGTATCCACACTATGGCTATGCAGGGCTTTGCACTGCAAAAGTTAAATATTCCTTCCAAAACAATACAGACAGGGCTAAAGACCACCTCACCCTAAAGACACCAGCATGCAGGATAAATTAAAAGCAATTCCTGTGAAAGGAAAGCTGCTGAAAGGAGAGCAGACATTATAGGAAGTATGCATGTGTATATATCGTACGTATTCATAGTACATATACCACCTGCAAGCATGCAGACGGTATACACATCTACATTCTAGTTTAAATTTCTAGTAGCAAATTCTAGGAAAAAAATAAATGCAGAACACCAAAGCAGCTACAGAGAGGAGCAAACAATGAATTAAATTCAATTCCTCACAGAATAGCTTATTCAGTAAAATATAATACCACCATGTCTATTGGCTTCTAATTAAATATTAAATACCGATTCCTCACTAGGAACTAACAAAATTTTAGTGTTGCTTTTTAAAAGTTGTTCAAGATTTTCTGCCAGGATGGCAAAGAGTTACCAAAATGTTTACCAGTTAAGTTTTTCCCATTGTGTTTCTCTTGTCATTTAGAGATTGTTTAACATCAGAAATAACATCTTAAGCACTTCCTCACTTGCATTATCAGAGATTATCATAGATAATGCAAGACAAGTTCCAAGGACAGTCTTAAGTGTCTGAAACAGGTAATGAATATTCTGTCTAGACAAGAGATGCAGACAACACTGTTCCTCTTCTCAGTCTGCCCGTTGCTAACAGCTTTGACAGTAAGCTGAGTACCTGTATATGCCTGCATCTCTTAAATTAAGAAAAAAAAAATAATTAGCCTTGTCTGAACAGAGAACAAACTTAAATCCTACCAACATCTATTTAAGGATTAAACCCCCACTCTACTGAAAGCCAAGGACTATTTCACATTCCTATCTGACACAGATAAATCAGCGAGCTACAGATAACACTGCTCATGTGACACTCACCTGGTGCAGCTTCTGCCAAAATTCCGGTCCATCTTCCATTTTTCTTAAGCTTGGTGGAATGTACCAAAAGCAAACATTTGCATACTCCGGCTAAACAAGAGAACAAGTGATTGCTTATGAGATGTAATATACGGGACAGGAATACATAGCATAGCTTGTCGGAGCACTCTGCTTTATTTTTTTGGGGTGAGGTGGTGGCGAAGCCATTGAGTTTATATCCTTTTCATTAAAACTTCCTTCTCCAACTCACTTTTTATTTCCCTTTTTTGAAACTAGAAATAGTTTTTGTGTCATTGATTTCTCTTCCTGCTGCCATAAAAAGGAAACCTGTTGGGGTTCCTTTTTCATTCCTTCTTCCTATATACGTATTTGACTCTGCTTTGCTCACTGAAAACTTTGGTTAGGAAAAACATGTAAAAGAGGCATAGAGAGGTAACGTATAGATTTCAAAATTAAAGCAACTTGAAAGAGAAAAACACATTTTCTTTTTAGTGTTTTTTTAAATGGAAATTTCCCATAATGCATTTTACACAAAATAAACTCAATTTTTGTTACCATTTTACACTTGCACACCCAGGCATTTTTTTACTGAACAATGCCAATCTCATTTTATATCATGTATCATACGGCACATTGCACAGTGCTGGAGTTAATGCTGGCTTTCTCAATTTCCACATTCTATAAGAATCTCAGGACCTCTTGCAGGGTATGTGGCATATCCTGGATATACCTTGTACAATATCTAAGCAGGTCTTCTGAGCAAACATAGAGATTCCACATCTCTGCCTCCCTCCAGAGAAATTTTGCCTTTAATCTTATCAGAGAGTTAGCTGCAAGACTCCCATACAAGAATGGCTGTTCACCATGCATTATAAAATAAGGCATTTTGTGCTTATGAGGTTTCTGTTTCACATATGATGTTCCCAGTACAGGATGTCTCTACATTTCCTGCTAATTTGGAATAATTTTTTCTTTTTTCACCTGAACAGATAGCAATAGCATGGGGAATAGATGTGCCATCTAATCCCATCCTACCCATAAACCCACTCAGTCAATCTTGACCTACGTAATTTGCAACACAGTATTTAACTGGGGTCTAGATTATAACATGGATTATAAACTCACACACCTCTCTCCTCTCCCACACGCCATCCTCATTAGTACTGATTGAAAGAAAAAAAAAAAAAATTAAAAGGGAGCTTGGTAGCTGGGTCACACCATCTCTTTGCCCCACTGTGAAAGTGGCTGCTATTACAATCCCAGGCAGTCTCCTGAATGAGGAGAGCCCACCAGCTGAGACACGTTCTTTCATGAAAGGGCACTGAGAACTGCTCATATCATTTTCCGCCTCACTTCAAAGAATGCATTAAATACAATTTAATCATCAAGAAGAATATCGTTGTCAGCAGGAACAGAGCTGCAAACCTGCCACCTGCTGCCACTGAATGAAATAAAGCTCAGCTCTTAAGGTCCCGTTTCTTTCCCCAAAGAGCAGGCATTGAGTACACACATAAACACAGACCCTGAAAAGGCAGTTTCCTCATGAGCACAAGCACTAGCTTGCTGCTACAGGGTTTATTTTAAAACTGTTTAAAATCAGATGGCAGGACTAGACAGATGGCATATATTACCATGTTGTCATTGCCTATATTGCCTTCTTGATTATCTCAGTTTCCTTTCACACATCAAATACACCATCCCCCTCTGAAAATACCATTCACCCTAGAAAAACTCAACTACCCCCAGCCATGCTTCACTCTATTTCTGGTTATCTTGTCACAGCTCTTATCCAAGCACGTAAGCAATTATACCACAGAAGAGTTCAAGATGACTCAAGCACGAGCAGCATTTCCAGGCCATAGAGCAGTTCTCATTACAGGACTCCCTGCATGTATCAGAAGATCATCTTCCTCAGCTTCTTGTCCAACTTCCTTTCTGAAAGAGCTCGCATAACTGGGCCAGGCTGCCTCCCAGCAGTCTTTGAATTCTCACTGCTTGTCCCCCTGCACTCCTGAAAACCTTTTCTTAACCCTTGCTCAACTTCCTTCTCATAGCCCACACTACAGCACTCCCTCCACTCCCACTTTTAACCCAGGTGTCCTGCTCCTGCAGTAACTAAACAGCAGCCTCTGCTCTCACCAACAGCTTTCACATCTATGGTAGATCTGGGCTCTCTGCTAAGCTCTACAATAACAAAAAATAGAGAGCTTCCAACAGACTTGCTACTTCAGTAACCCCATCACGTGCTGCTGGCCCAAAAATCTGCGCTCCAAGTTTCCCAGTATGCACTTTCAAATTAGCAGTTTTCAAAGTTGATGAAAAGTCCATTTTTAGGATCAAAATATTCTTCTACTCAGCACACAATCTTATCCATAAGTCTGGCAAGCACTGCTTTTTTGCAGCCAGAATCTTCACTTTCACAGAAAAGTACTCCATCTATTCCCCTGAAGCAATACAGGCCCAGATGCTAGGAATATAGGTAGACTGATGGTAGGGAATACAGAGCAGGATATGTGTGTTCTATCGTATCCGTGTATCTCTAATACACAAACTTATTAAATGACATACTTCAAATACAAATTGGCAATTGACTAAAAAGAACAAAATCAAACAATCAACACCCCCCCAATAACAATAACAATTCAATTCCATTTTCACTTACCTCCAAAAGAAGCTGAAACCCATCTCTTTTCTTGATTTCCTCCACTAAATATCTGTAATTAAAAATGCAGGGGTTTAAAGCACAGAACAAAACAATACATACAGAAAACAACAAAAACAAAGTTCTTGGACATGTACATGCCTTTTTTCCTTTTTTTTTTCTTTTTTTTTCTTTTTTTTTTTTTTTTTCCCTGGAGAAACCACAGAGTTAAACCTCATTTCTACCTGCTGTGAAAATGCAGTAGCTATCAGTTCGTGGAAACAAATGATGGCTACATCCAGCCAAGGAGCACTGAGGAGAGGCCAAATTCTGTCCTCAGGCACAGATTTCCAGTGGAGCCACATGGCACAAATTGATCCTATTTGCTGTGAACTTTCCCAATGCAAATTTCCAGTGATGTTGCTCTCTACAAATTAACGCCTCCATCTTTTTTTTCTCAAGTACTGATGCTGTGCTGCCATGTTATTTCACGGTCACACTGACATCTCTTGCACTACTATTGTCACAGGGACCTCTTAGTTTAGCCCAGAATTTAAAAGTTTTCCAGAATTTAAAAGAATTTAATTGCTTCAAGGCCAGCAATTTTCCCATTACTGTCCTTGTTCCACACTGTACACAACAGTGCACACTTCCATTCAGTGAGTCACTACTGATGCACAATAATCCTTGGGTATCCTATGACAACAATGCATTAAAATAAGTATTTCTTTTCTCTTTCACTGTCATTATGAAAAACACAGAAACCTTCAATGGGAAGATGGGTTTGAATCAAAACTTTGGATCCAAATAGCTTCCATTTATAAAATTTTTTAAAAACATGACCTCAACTTTGCCATGGCACACATCACACAGGAATTCTGAAGCAAAGAGGACACTTTGCCATAGCTGGGACTTCTATTTATTCCTCCCTCTCAAAGCCCCAAGGAAAACTCCAAAGAAATCCCCTCAAATACACACAGCTTTTATGTTTCAACAGAATTTTAGTCTTCTACACAAGGATTTTGCTGTCTAAAAGGAATAAAACTGAAACAGTTAAACTACTGATCGCGTACAAATCTGTTCTTTTGTTGCATTTATTCGGCATTTTCCTGCCTGCAGCTGCGTTACTGGTCATCACACAAATAATTCTTTTATCCACTACTTGAGGAAGAAAAATATTGTCAAAATAACCCCCCTTGGTCCTATCCACATGCCTGAAACCTGTCCCTGCAGGGACACCTCTAGCACAGCTGTATCTGCAACGCCTGCTATTCGGCAGATGTGCTTCAGAAGCAGGTTGGCTGGGGAGGCAGTAAACAATACCCTAGATGGCACGCATTTTTCAAAACAGAGCACGGGGAGTTGTCACGCTGTTTATCATTACCAAGTGCTGCGCGCGTGACTCATTACCTCTTAGCACACAGCCTTGCAAAATGGTTGCTGTGGTAGAGCCAGTTCCCACAACACTCTAGGAGTTGTTGCAGCTCTAGGAGTTGTGTCACACTGTGCACCGTTGAGATGTTCTCACGATAACATGTTGAGGTTCTGGGTCTTTTCTGCCATGAATATTTAGATCCTACTGCGTGCATTTTTTTGTCACCTGGCTGTTCGTGCCCACTCTACTGTTTAGGTTGAAAGAGAGGTATACTGAAAGGTTAAGGAGGAGGCTAGATAGCATGTGAGTGGGTTTGGGCACCTGTTTCTGTAGGGCAATTGTCTTAAGTAAAAGAAGCTCATTGCTTTTGTCCTTTTGATTAGAAGATACATGTCTGTGCCATAAAATTCAGCAAGAAATTCTGAATTTCTGAATTTTCTGAATAAAATTCAGCAAAAAATTCAAAATTCAGCATAAAATTCTGTGCCAAACTTCAGCAAAATCAACACACTATTCACAAGACAGTGGCCTTCAATTTATGTATTTTTTTAAATATCTATTTAAGATCTATGTATGATCACTTTTTTTTTTTTAAGGCTTAGACGTCTTAGAGCTATTTTACAACACTTAATACCCCTCCCTCTTACCACAAGTGCCTGGTTTTTATACCACCCATCTGACATAGGATATCTGATGTCGGTGAAGCTCACAACACTGTTAATCAAGTTCTTAACTACATTTCCAATTGTCTAAGGCGGCAGCCATTAGAAAATCCATCACCCATGATTTATCTTGCCAGCACCATTTGATGGCAGTGGAGCAATTTACTCTGCATCTTTCCACAGTTGACAGTGGAGTTTTATTATCATGTCATGGTTGTAGAACATTGGAAGGACTTGAGTCTCAGTGAGTATTGGAGTGCACAGAGAAGTGGTATTTGCTATGATTAAGCCTTGCAGAAAATGAGGGGTAGAGATCTGCAGTGAAAGTAGACATATGTCTGCTAAGAGTGGGTGTCAGAAGAGGAATCAGAAAAACTGCAAAGATGCTGAAGCTTAAAATGCAGAGGTGGTTATAGTTGTATTCTAAAAGCAGTTTACTTCTATCTTCTTTTAGTGTACTTCATAAAGCAACATCCCTGTATCAAAAATAATTTGGAAAAAAAAACAGCAAAAAATTTTCCAAAGTGATCAGCAGGATGCTCTTCTGTAGCATTTTAAAAATAAGTCTTTCCAAATGGGTATCGTCACAATGTTCCACAATGTTATTTTAAAAATAAGCCTTTCCAGATAGGTAGCGTCACAATGTTCCTGGGCTATCTAATACACTGAAAACATGATTCATCTCCAGAACAAGAAGAAATGAATGGAATAGCCAATAACCAAAGTTTGATGCAACAGAAATACATGCCTACAACCACCCTGAAACTTTAAATTCTATAGTCAGTGGACGAGTTTGAGAATTAATCCAGGTCTGTGTTTAGGAACGATGAAATACCACCTTTGCAACATCAAAGTAAAACCTACTGTAACAAATGAGGAGAAAGGCTGCACAGCTGTTGAGTGGCTGGGAAACCTGGCAGAGCGCCCAGCAAACCTGATGGCTCAGCTGCAGAGTGCCCATGTCCAGGCAGACTCAAGAGAGCAATGCAGCTACTGTAAAGAATATACTTCATCAGATAATGACTAAGAATTAAATTTCTTCTTAAAGGGGAAAAAAAAAAAAAAAAAAGTAAAAACCGACAACCCTCCTTAGAAGCGTTACCAGCTGAATCCTAACATTCAAAGGAAACATCGATCCCAGAAAGGTCATTAATCACTACACTCAGTCAAACGACCTTGGCCAGTGACCTTGATAAGGCTGAATTCTCCTACTGATAGTGGAATGAATTACTTACTCTGTACAGACACAGAACAGTATAATGCTTCAGAACAAAAACAAGGTGCAATTTAACCAGAAGTTATTAAGGAACACTTAACCAGCCAAACAATGAGTGGCTTTAAAGAATTGAAATAGAGAAAAAAGCCAAAGCTCATTTGAGCTCTTCTGGTTTTGCTTCTTTCTTTTTATTCCTTTCTAATCCATTCTGGGTTTAGTTAATGCACATTTTTAATGAAGTCACTTAAAGAAAAAGTAAAGCGAGACTATTCCTTTAATTTGCACTGGAGTAGACATTCAATTCTTTTCAACTTGATAGCTCATATCAAAAATGGCAATATGATACAGGTGGATGTTTTTAAATATTAATGATTTGACTTTTGGTAGTGTTTAGCTAGCCCAGGTGGTTTATCTTATATAAGTTCTGAATAAATATGATGCTTCAAGTGAATTGCTTTTAATGGGCCATTATTTCAATACTATTTCTTCTATCAGAAAACAAAACAACCTGTGAACGGAAGTTTCTTCCCAGAAACTGAGAGATTACCATCACTTTAGAAACACCTTCTAGCAAGAATTTTGCAGAATTCAGTTGTGAAATTCAGTGCTGCAAGACCAAAAACTACGTAAAATTGAACAGCACGGGTGACGGGAAGATTACAAGAAAAAGGTGCTTCAGTCCCTAACAGAACACACCATAAGCATTAAGATCTTCAGCAAAGTTGTGAAGACAAAGAAAAGCAGTATCTCAGAACAATATGCCTTTATATATCTCTACTACATCCTAACATTGATAGTGTCCTCACACAAATTTCCCCACATCATCGGGTTTCTGTGTTTCCTCAGTCATGAGGAATGAAGTGAACAGAAGAATGGCTAATTCGCTTCTTGCAGGACACAATGGTTATTGCTAAAAGTCATAATTACTATTAAATATTGTAGCAAATGTAATAAAACTAATTATATGCTGTTAGTTCCTCTTATTATACACAGACAAAAGGAGAGGGGGCAAAAGTAACAATGTGGTCTGTTTCAGAGATGGTGTATCAGCAGTGTCAACATTAATTAATTAAACAGACAAGGCATATTCAGGGTTGGGAGGCAGTACCTAGCCAAAGCCAGCGCCCTGTTCACTCTCTCCTCGAGGCCTGTGGTTCCCAGTGCTTTCCACATCAGCCAGAACTTGAAGGCATCCGGACGCCTGCTGCACTGAATGGACTTGTCACCGGTGTCATAGCTGACATCATAGAACTTGTCCTGCTGGAACAGGTAGGCAGCCTTGGCAGAGTAACAGTTCTTCAGGAGGCCCTATCAGAAACACAATAGAGACTTAGACTGCTGACAAGCATTTTGAAACCTCCTTATCTTCACAAACCAAAGCCTTTTGGTTTTTTTTTCCTGGCTGTACCAACTGCTTAGTGAAACAGAACTGGATACGCTGGAAACTATCCAAATCTTACAGTGTGGTTTAAGAACCCTGGGTGAACCTGAACCCAGTGAAGTCAGCACTGACAACATGGAAAGTTTTTTTATTATTTTCTTCATAATGTCCCTGAAGAGTTGCAGGCTGAAGAGGAATTCTCACTCTGATCTCAAGAAATCATGGGAGGGGGTACCACAGAAACAGTTGCCCAAAGACATACATGGGTGGAAAAGAGGGAGAAGAAGGATAAGCTTATGTCTGCTGCTCCAGTCTATAGATAGGAAGGACAGCCCCTGAGGAGCTGCCTACATGTTCGCAAATGGTTCAATCCATTCATTCTTTGTCAAGCAAAGAACTTCATATATTGCACAGTTAGTTGCGGGTAGGGAAGATTTTAGCCCCAAGAAATAGATGTATAGCCCTTACCAGAAAATAAAGTCACTGAGTATTTAGGATCTGACTGTTTGAATGAAAACACCATGAGAAGATTAATACAATCCCAATTTTTGTCTCTTTTCACAGTTCAGACAATTTTTACATTTGAAAATAAACCTCAAAAAAAGGTACTTTAGCATATCCCAATTATGGTTTGTTAATGAAATTATTTTTATTCAGCAGTCTCCAGCCTCCAACTTCTGAGAGACTGCCTGGGCAGAGATGAGCAGCAGAAAACAGACAAAGGTACACAAGTAATGTGGCAGGTTCCAGCAAAGAACAAAGCTGGGAAACAATGCACAGTGGCTGTTATAGATTTAAAGGTGCAGGGGAAGTGAAGAAGCATAGGACTGGCCATTGGCTGAAGAATGAAATATCAAAGTATGCTCTGTAATACTGTGAAGAAGAGAGAAGAGCTGACAGAGAGCAGGTTACAAGACCAGAGATGAGGGTGGCCCTACAAGGACCCCAGGAGATAGAAAAGGTTGTAGATTTGTCCATGATATTAAAAGTGGATAAAAAAAATAAACCACAATCTCCAAGACAATACTAGAGTATACATTCAGATGAGGTTAAAAACATGGCTACAGCATCCGATTCAGATCTGCAAACCTGTATTTCAGTGACAGTTGAATCAGAAGTCTTCCACATAGAACAGACCAAGGAACAGAAGTGGACAGTGTGACAGAAGTTGCTAAGCTGTAACTCAAAGAGCCCAATTTATTTTCCATGTCAACATCACTCTTCAATTTGAACCAACTGAAAAAGGATTTCACATTTCATCCTTTTCTCTGCGTCTGCTGCAAGTCTAAGTTTAAAATGGCAGACAGGATCTGACATCACTCCTAATCAAAGTGTCATATTCCCGTAGTAGAGGTACAACTCTTGATCTACATTAAAATACACTACTGATAACTTTGGAACTGCTAGTAAAATAGAGAAAAAAAGATCAAGGCCAAAAAGCCACTGGAGAAATAATCCACTGGCAGAATAAGTCTCCCTGTTTCCTAGCTTTTTCAATTACCTCCATCAATATGAACAACAAAATAAACAAAAAAAACAACCCATGCACCTATTCATTAAGCATAAAAGGAGAAGAATACCAAAGGTTCTTCCACTACTTCCATAGGGGTTTGACAATCCCATTGTAATATTCCTAGCTTGCAAAACAGACAGCAAATTCAATCTGAACTCTTTAGCCAAAGGACCAGCACATTCAGCCATGTGAAAATAGTTTATGTGACAGCTTGGGGAAAAAAGGGGCAGTGGCTCCTCTCCCTCTGCAGTCACCAGTGATAATGTGCTGCTGCAACACATGATAGCTGTAGCTGGAAAGCCAATGCTGGGCACAGATTTTTTGCGGTAGTTAAGACTCTCACACCTACTTTTCAACTTTCTCAGCAAAAGAAAGGTAAGATGATGACATTGGAAATCAAAGAAAAGTCAAGCATTGAAGCATCTATCCTTTACAGTTTTTGTACAGCTTTGTGCTCTCTGGTTAGCAGCTGCACAAGAGGAACAGGACTCTGTCGAGTCATTGTGCCCTATTAATTTAGATCTCTATACTTTGATTTTCAGGGGAAATGCAAGTTTACTAGTCATGGCTTTTTTAACAAAAAAGGCAGCAACATCCACAAATTTTTATTTATAGAAATAAATATATAAAGAATTGCTTTGTCTCTTACTGGCTTTAAAATTTTGCACAGTGTTTCTGCAGTGAGTGTACAGCAGGGTTGATCAACATGGGACTATCTTCTGCCTTATCAGAATGTAATACAGCCGCACAAGAGAGGATATCACAGGATATTAGTTACCCTCATGCCTGTTGCGTGAGAAATAATAACTTTTGTTTGTCACAAGAAACCTAAACTCAGTTGGTAATATTACAGAAAGATTGAGAAGTTCACTTAGGATCACAGTACACCTGCAGAGTTTTGTAGTTTAAAAACAAATGCTCCACACTGAAAATGCAACAAGGACAAATAGTTCAATATCTTTGAGTGAACTCAAATTCCTAGAAACATATTTCATTTAAAAAAAAAGAAAAACGTAGGTACTGTCCTACTCGCCTGCTGCATCCAAAGCTGACAAGACGTGCTGGCTTGATGATCCTTTTCCATCTGCTTATCTTACTAATAACACAACACGCTCAAGAAATCATGATGAAAATATTGCCTACTGTCAATCTCCAGAAGTGAGTACTGTGACACCTTCCAGCATGTCACCAGAACAGACAGGAGAAGAAACAAAAATCATGCTTTGTGAGAAAGAAAGAAATATGCCAGACCAATGCAAGAAGCAAGGTGGAGAGGGCAAGAAAAAGGGAACATTGCAGAACAGAATTTGGGCAGGGAGGGCAACAGAAGAGGAAAAAAAAAAAAATCCAAGATAAATTTTGTGCTCAAGAAAGCAGTCACTCCTTGATCACTGCTGTCTCAAAAGTAATAGACTCAAACAAGCTGAAGACACAAATAGTCAAATGATGGAAAAGTAGAAAGGGGAAAAAAAAAAAAAAAAAAATCTGCCAGATACTGAATTCACAAATTTTACCTTCAAAACCAAAACTGAGTTGTCACGGTATTACTGTT